AGAAGTCACGGAAGTCAATGCAAGAAGTCTGCAGTTTGCAGGCCTCCTCCATGAGATCTCGATGCGCAACCTGCGAAAGCTTGCAAAACAGGCAGCCCGAGCCGAGCGGTGGTGAGAACTTTGAAACACCCGCGCACGTCCAGCTCTCAACATGATCCCCGTGCTGCGCCAAACGAGACAAGATGAGACATATGAGACAGTCATCCTGCCTGCATCTGCTGCGACGGTGCTGAAAAAAACGGCAGGCAGCTGCAGCGTGCCTCAGCCGTCATCGTCCTTATCATCCTCGCAGATGTCGAGCATCATGAAGTGGCAGTCGAGGAGGACCGGTCCCAGCATGGACCTGGTTTTCTGTTTTGCTCAACGACATCGTGAGTCGAGGTGGGAACGAGGTGGGTTCGCCGTATGTCGGTAGCAATTCGGATACTGTTCTCAAATTCTCAAACGACCAACAGGAGTCCGAAAGCCTCAAACTCGGCAGGCGGAGGCGAGATTTAGCCTTTGCGATCTCTCCAAACTGTGAAGCAAGAACCCTCAGCAACTGCCGCAAAGCGAGACGTCTGTATTGTTTGCTTCCTAAGCAGACATGCTTCGTCGATGTTCGCTTGTGCAGCCATGGTGCAACACCAGCCTGTCCAGATGGACGAAGATCTGATCGTCGCTCAGCATCATGGCTGTGAATCTGCAAATCACGGGAAGAACAGTACAAGCCTGCTTCTGCTTGAGCTTCAATGTCGGCAAAGTCGGCAAGGCCATGACTTCAAGCAACTTGCCATCCGTTGTGCAGCTGTAGCGCCTCAACCTCAAGATGCCTCCAACACCACAAGCCGACGCCTGGCCTATGCAACCTCCCCACGTGGGCGAACGCAGTTGTTTTCGCAGCTTTCACTGGAGCACGACGTAGGAGGTGCATCCCTCCAGGCCTCAGCCAACCCAACAGCAAAAGCAGCCTTCTGTAGCGACGGGGCTTCCATCCCTTTTTGCGCGTGACTTTGCTCTGCTTCTTCAAGCCCTGATTGCTTTCACTCCGCAGTACAGCCGCATTCATCAGGCCATGCATCCTCAAATGTTTGTGATAGATGTGTCAGACGGCGAACGATCGCGCTTGGTGCGACTGACGTCATTCGACAGCATGCTGATGAACATCATTCAGCTCCTTCGAGAGCTTTTGATGCTCAAGCTGGGCCTGAATCGTACCGTATGACTGGTGCTGCGACTCGGACGACCATCGGAGCTCAAGTTCGTGATTGTAAACACGATGGCATGGCGTCTTCCGTAGCCTAAGCCCCACGGCTGCAAACCCCAAGCCCCGGGTGGCCCAAACCTTCCCTTTTTTCGGCCCCGGGCCATCCGCCGCCGCCGCCGCCTCGGGGCCTCTCACCAGCAGCCGGCGCAGGTCTTTGGCCAGGCTTTTTACCTTCATCTGACGATCACGGGCTGTGCAGGGCATGGGATCTGTGCGCGGGGGGGTGGGCATGCGCTTTAGGTTTGCAGATGCGGGAAACACAAGTCAGGCTAAGCTGCATGTGTCGCTGCCGCTACCGATAGGACGACGACCAACTGCTACTCCTGTTTTCCGCTACTGCTACTCCATCTCCCGCTGCTTCTCCTCTTGCTCTGCTAAACTGCTATGATATTCACCTTCATCCTTTTCATCAGCAGTATAAGCATCATCAACAGATCCACATCCAGGTCCTCTTCTTCCTGCTCCTCCTCCTCCTCCTCCTCCTCCTCCTCCTCCGCCTCCTCCCCACCGCCAACGCTGCCACCACCATCACAACTACGATCACCACCATCGTGATCTATTTCTTCATCATCATCATCGTGAGCATCAGCATCACCACATCTTCATCTGCACGGTCATCTTCATAGTCGAAAAAGTTCACGAACTGACATGACCCCCCACCACCACCACCACCACCACCACGACCACCACCACTACCGCCACCCTCAAAACATCATCATCACCATCATCAACAGCATCATGACAACACTACACCTCTTCACCGTGGTCACCCTTCATGGGTCAATCTGCATCCTCCTCTCCTTGATCATCGGCATCACCTTGTCTCGTCGCCATCGGCATTGTCATCATCCAGGTTCCTTCATTCAGTCACGCATTCCTGCATTCCCTTGCCCGTGCTTGCATGTGCTTGCCTCCAGCGCTCGCACATCCGACTCGCTGCGGAGGGCTTTCAGCTCGCCTGACCGCTGCAGGCTTTGGGCCCTACGATCTGTGGATCAGGGCGTGGCCCTAGCTCACAATGCCGCGCTTCCGCCCGAAAGGTTGCACATGCCGACATGTAATGTGGGACTACTCTAGCAAAAATGTGGACACTGGGACTCTCAGCACACGCGTCCACACTCAGCGTGGCTCTAAGCCTTTGAGCCCCTCCGCTCCCTGGTCCCCTCCTTCCATGGACACCCGCTGCGTCCGCAGCATCTCCCGAAGCGTCATCACTGCCGCCTCGAGTCCAGAACATCGATGTCAGAAGCTAGCGGAAAACCTCTAACCAGGAAGTGCCCGCAGTGTCCAAGGCTTGGAAATCAACAAGCATTCAGTTGCAACTTCTTGGAAGTTTCGACGCTTTCGCAGGCTTGACAATTAAGTGCCTGCAGGTTCGAATCACGAATGTTCTTTCGACAGGCTGCATGGATTCGGACAATTCGAAAGGGTCGGGAGGCTCCACCTATCCTCATGCCGCATGGGTCGAAATTGTTCCACGATGAGCAACTTCGAAAGGGACAACCGGTGTGAGTTCGTGGGAAATCGCGGGCATCCCACAACTGGCTGGCTGGAGAGATTCGACAGGTTCCAAAGTTCGCTGCTTGCAGAAGCTCACATCTTCGAAGCATCGATGCACCTCGATGTCCACTTTCAGCTCGTCCCAAAGCGAGACATCAAGCTTTCCATCCAGCTTGGAGTCAACGAGGCCTGGGATGCGCGGCTTCGTGGCTTTCTCGCGCTAAGTCTGAAGGCGATGTCGGCTCCATCTTTGAGGCGAGATGCGACTCACCTCCACGGTGAAGCAGGAACATTTCTCGTTCCAGCGGCCCTCCATTTTGGAGAGCTTCTGCTTCAGGTCCGCTTCCTCGGGGCAAGCACAGAAACGCCCGACTCAGGTTTCGCAGAGGCTGGAGCTCACAAGAGCTCCGAACTGCTCGCATGAAGGCAACAAGAAGGAAAGCCATCGTTCTCAGCGAGCTGCCATAGTAGTGCAGCGGTCTTGGATATCTCCCTCTAGCCTCGCAAACCTCGGGACGGGCTGCGATACAGGGCATGCCAAGCACCTCCAGCACAACATGTCGCGTGCCCGCGATAACCGAGATGGGAAGAACAGGATCCCGGCGGTGGTCATCACCATGGAGGGAGACGCAACGTTACGGAGAGATGAACTGGCTAGGCACTAAGACAAGACGAAATGAGAAAGACGATCAAAAGGCTAACGAAAGCAAGTGCAAACAAGACGCCAGGCTGGCATGCTTTGCATGGCCTGCCTCAGTTCAGACCAGACGATGCTGCTTCTACAAGAGCCGAATCGTGCTCATAAAAGCTATAACATGCCACGGAACTCACGTGCAGCATTTTCTTGCGTGGATATATCTCGTCATCTACATTTGCATGTATATATATATACACATATGTACCTGTGTGATTATGTATGTGCGCATCTGCACGAGACACACACACACAGGTTTATCTAAATCTGATGTTGCTTTCAGAGCTGTGCTGCCTCCAGACTACCAGAATCATGATTAACGTTGCCACTGCAACACGATTACTCATGGCACAAGGTCTTGTTGCGTTCCCTTCACGATCGCCGCATGACGATGTAGTGATGAGTTGTAACGATGCACTCAATGATGTGAGTCTATGTGTCTCTCTAGGCCTCCAAGCCAGCGTTTCCAAGACATATTAGCATACTTCTGCAGCATTCTGTACTAAAGACTAAACTCATAATACGGCCATGTCTATGTGCGTCTACATGACGAATAGGTGTACGAAGCCTGCCCATGATCATTGCGCTTGTCTGCTGCGTTGGAACAATGCCTGCACTGAGTTTTGGGGTACACGACGAAAACGTGTAGACTATATGTTGTATGTATATCAATCTCACAGGGAATCCGACATGCAAATCTGGTGTTAAACCCACAGGTGGGAAGCCCTCAGCGATTCCTACTCAACTCAGTAGCGCCTCAGCACAGATAAGCGTACTACATAGGGCTATATGCCACACGTGTGTACAGACATATACACATGTAGAGACAGACACATGCACTGACATAGTAAAACACATGGTGCATATACACTCTCTGTGTGTGTGTGTGTATGCGCGCGTGTGTGTGTGTGTGTGCGTATGTATACACATGTATGTATGTATGTATGTATGTATGTATGTATGTATGTATGTATGTATGCTGTATGCTGTATGCTGTATGCTGTATGCTGTATGCTGTATGCTGTATGCTGTATGCTGTATGCTGTATGCTGTATGCTGTATGTATGTATGTATGTATGTATGTATGTATGTATATATGTATGTATATACGCGTGTAAGTAAGCAAGCACACATATATGGATGGATGTGTGTACGTACGTACGTACGTACGTACGTACGTATGTATGTATGTATGTACGTATGTATGTATGTGTGTATGTATGTATGTATGTATGTATGTATGTAGGTACGTACGTACGTACGTAGGTAGGTAGGTAGGTAGGTAGGTAGGTAGGTAGGTAGGTAGGTAGGTAGGTAGGTAGGTAGGTAGGTAGGTATGTATGTATGTATGGGCATTGGTTTTGGGGGTTGAGGCTTCAGGTCCAGG